GATTTTATATATTATCTATCTATCTATCTATCTATCTATCTATCTATATATATATAAATATATAAAAATTTAACAAAATATAATACAAACAAATCACACGCCAGCAAAAAAATGCCACTCAATTGAGTATACTGCAAAAAATGCCCACTTGTTCACAGCTCATACATAATAAGCTTTGGTTTGCCCATCAGTCAGACACTTGCCTTTCAGACACTAGATTCCAGGTGGGGTAGTGCACCAAGGATCATACAAGCTGGGTAACAGATAAAATAGAAAAATTATTCTGAAAATGTGTTAATAAAAAAAATCAATACTTGACTAATGACTAACTGACATCTAATATATTCAAGTTTATTTTTTACAAATTAAGATTCAAAACATTAAAATGTATGTTCAAATAGTGGTAAAATAAAAAATAAAAAAGGATTCTTTTCCTAGCCCAAAACTATTTGTAGTTTCAGTAGTTAATGGCACCAAAATGGCAGATGTAATTTAAGTACTTAAATCACAATGTAAATATAAATGTATGTAATTATCAGCAAGCTACAGTAAAATGTAGTTAAACTAGTTAAATTACATGTAGTTCACTACTCACCAACACTGAAAACAGATGGAAACACATTTATAGTTTTTCTTAAAACAAGGGAACAATTCTGGCACCGTAGTAAATTATTCCACGCTGTTTCCAATACAAATCGGTTTGTTATACTGTCAATGATCACACCGATGGAACAAAATACTCTGATTATTCAAAATTTATGAAACAAACTGATTCAAACTGGAAACAAGTATGATTTCACCACATTGGTGTGCACATAGCTAACACACACCTTTACAGAACCTAAAAGCAAACCAGCAAGCACAAACCAGACCCCAAAGCCTTTTACAACAATCTCATAACCACCAACACACCTCCCCTTCCTCTCTGCATAGACAATAGCTCCGCCTGTTATAGATGACTAACCCAAAGCCATCATCGGCCCAACCAGCTGCACTGTAAAACCATGTGAATCCCAGAGACAAACACAATGTTCTGCTGTGATTCATCAGCATTTAACACAGCAAACAGAGGGAGATTTACCAAAAACAGACAGCTGAAGTGAGAGAAAGAGAAGGAATGGATCAGAGAAAGGTCACAACACATGTATACCAGCATAAAGTAACGTCTCATCCTTTCCTGAGCCGGGCCCTCGCTGTTTAAACAACTTTTATCAGTCAAAGGGTGAATCAAAAGGGAGATAGTAAAAATGCTGCTTCCCCCCGTTATGGCCTGTGTTCACAAGCTTGTGAATGAACCCTGTGTACACACACAAATGCTGTGTCATGGTAAAAACAGGGAGACAATGAAAATAATGAGGATGGAGCACAGGAAGAGAATTCAGAGGAGGGGGACAAAGGGAAAATGTAACGAGGAACGAGAAGCTATGGGCCACATTTTAATGAATGGTGTGAAGTCAGACTGTAAAAGAATGTGAAGACGTAATGTCTTGGCACACAACCAGCGTCCACAGGTGAAGGTCATGGCTCTAGAGTTCTGATGAGAAGCGGGGAATTGAGTTGCCATTACGAAGTGTGGAGAGATGCAGATGTTGGAACTTTATGGTTGAGAATTTGATTTATTTGCCTTGTAAAACCAATTTTTTACCTTTGTTAACCAGGAAATGGAAGTTTAAAGCTTGAAAATAAGCCATACGACCTCAAAGCCTATCCAAATCCAATTTCAACCCATTTCAGTCAACACTGTGCACTTTTTTCTTTATTGTTTGGACTTTAAAGTACATTGGACTCCCTACAGTACAGTACATTACTTTCTCGATCCCGTAACACGAAGAGGTCTTTAAGGACCATTTCCTCTCGCAAGACAGCACACAGCTCAGTCAAGGATTACAGCCAGACCTTGTGTACTGTGGGTTTGAGCACGAACAGGAACCGGGTGTTCACTATTGAAAGGACACATTTACTTCTTACTCAAAATCAACCAAACTGTGATTCTAATCCTTACGGTAAATATGAAGCTATAGCCAGCAGCCATTTAGCTTAGCTTAGCACAAAGACTGGAAACAGAGGGGAAAGAGCTAGCCTGAATTCAACTACCTGATTTCTAATCACCCTCAGCTTGCCAAGCAAACAGACACTCCAAGAAGTTACTGCAAGAAATTCCACATAATCCAACATAAGAAAAAAAACATAACTTGACGATTTGGACGGATTAAACAACCAAGATGATACTTGCTACTTTAGAGGTGGTCATATTTTGTTACGTTTGGACACAGCCAGGCTAAATGCTTCCCAATTTCCAGTCTTTGTGCTAAGCTAAGCTAACCAGCTGCTGGTAGTAGCTTACTTGGCATACAGACATGTGGCATCAATCTTCAAAACTAACTATTGGCAAGAAAGTTTATTTTCCAAAATGTCAAACTTTATCCAAGGGAGATAACAATTTGATCCAAAGCACTTGCAAGACTGCCAATGAATGATTAATGGTTATTTACAGCACTAAATGGTAGTAGAGGATGATGTTTTTGGTGACTGCACCAACATCAGGACAAAGTTTCCACTTGTTTGAAAACGAAGAAGAATTAAAATCTAATTTGCAGATTGCCATAAAATGTTCCAGGCTCATTCATTTTGCTCAAAGATTGAACACTTTCCATTTGCACGTTCCATGAACTCCCCTCTAGCTCCATCCTCAGGCCAAAATGTCTTCTAAAAGGAAGATTTACCATGACATTTGGTGAGTGAATTCATGCTCCCTAGGAAATGAAGCCTTCACTCACTGCCGTCTGTCCGTAGGACAATGTAACCCAACCTTGCTCTCCCCTGACCTGTTCTGTTCAGCTATTTTCCACCGTCCTCTGCTCTACTTTTCTCCATCTTTCTTTGCAGCCAGCTGGAGAGGGGAAGCACCAGAACAAACCAACTCCAAAAGGCTCTTTGTCCCCCAGCAACAGAAAGCACACTTGCACTCTTCTCCTCCCTTTGTCTGTCTACCTCCTACATACACCCAGCATGAGCATGAGTCCATCCCGTCTTCAGCTTTCAACAATGCTTCATCTCTGTGCCCCAGCCCACACACCAGAATACCACAACGGGGCGCCATGAACTTCTCCCTCTATCTGGCTCATTCATTGTCTCCAACACCCAGTCACCTCTGTCTCATTCCTCTTTTCTTTATGTCACTTCCTCATCAACAGAGTCTCCCTCTCTTTTTCTCAGTCTCCATCCTTTTCTCCCTCCATCTTTCAAATTGGTGACCTCACCCAACACCCACATTAGTGACTTCATCAGGCGGCAGCTGCAGTCAGGGCCACAGAGCAAAAGTGTTGGTGGAGGGAACAATTAACACCACAGCTATGTCTGGGACACCAGGGTGAAACTGCTGAGAGGTAATTTCTGGAAGACATCAACCACCTCCATGTGTCATCTCGGGCATTTAATCTCTCAAAATCTGCATGTTTAACTTAATTTGTCGCCAGTATCGACTGAGCGAATGCCCACTTGGGTTGTCTGGGAAAGGAAAGTGGTGGGACTGTTCAAGGCCGCTATCAAGCCTCATCTTGCCCCATGTCTAAGATGTCTTCCCATTTTGTCTGTGTTCTTTTAACAAGGACTCTGTTTGTTTGTGACAATACAGCTTTGAGATCCAAGTTGGAGTTTGCATGGGTGGTTGGTTTGCTGAGAGGTCGAGAATTCAAATATGTAATGTTGACCTTACAATTTGTGTGTAGCCTTATGTTTGACAAGAAACCCAGAAATGGGGGGGGGACCTGTCCAGTGTCAAATGTAGAGAAGATGAGGTAAACAAGTGTATGGTGAGGACATGTAAATATCTAGCAAGCAAAAGAGACAGTCATGTTTCTCAAGAGCTGATCGCCATGATAAGAAATCCAGAACTGAGGGAGAGAGACAGGAAGGGATTGCTTTGTCAGATCTTGGCTGAAGGGTTAGAGTAGATTATTTGTTTGGGCAGCCCTGTGAGGAAGGTGGTCAAGAGCCTCAATAAAAGACTCCGGATGAGGTTTCGAGTGGTTTGGGTGGTTTACAGCTCTGTAGTGGGTCTGGGTGGTTACAAGGCTTCAGATGTCACTTTTTGAAATGTGGCTGTTTAAGTTACACTTTGAACTCTGGATCTATTTGATGGGAAAGTGAGTGATACGGCCACCAGGAAGGTCACACTGGTCTTATGCATTTATCTAAATCGAACAGCTACATATACATATTGTTAAGTTGGTAAGATAAAAGGTTTAATTTTTAATGGAATAAATGGTTAGAGAAAAGGAAAAGTGTTATGAAAGGCAGAGGGGGCCATCTGCTGGACATTGTGTGCACTACATTTACTGTGTATTATAATTACATTTGAAGGAAAATATTGCAAGACTGCATACGGAAACCTGTCTCATCCAGCTTAAAATTAAGTACTGATCTTGGCAGATGAATGAGTATATAATGTATATACATATATATGTATAATGAGTTTTTTTAATCAGTTGTTATAAATGTGACAACAGTTGTGACACTTTACATGCAGCATTGAATAACCAATCATGACAAACTTTTTACTTGAATATAGGTTTGTAAGATTTTCTTTGAAATGTTTTTACAAAATCAGGTACATTGTAACATGCAGAATGTGTTTGTTGTTGTTAAAAAGGCAGTGGTGTGTTCAAGATTGCAAATCATCACAGTTTGTGTGTATGTTCAGAGATGCTGCTGCAGCCACAGCACTGTGTTGAGGAAACAGTCGACCTGTGTGTCCACCCTGGACAGAGAATGTCCATCTTCTGGAAACCACAGCAATCTGGATGGACAAACAGAACGATGGGCAGAACTTAATATCAGTCCTGATAATCACTATTATTAGTCTTGATGACATACAGGGTGTTGAAAAGATTACAGGAATGCCTGAGCTGAATTAAAACCTCTGCCGTAGGCTGTTATGTAGGATCAGACTGTTTTGTTAAATGGATATATTTAATGTCTTCTCTGTTGTACCTGACAGGCAAAGCTCTGCTCTTCAGAGCTTTATAGAGCTCCAGACCCTGGTGAGGAGACACTCGCTTGTCTCTGCCCCCCAGCATCAGCAGCACTGGAGCCTTAATCTACAAACAAACACACAGATAAATACACTGTTCCAACACACACTTGATTTCATGGCAGTTTCTTCAGATTTTGAAGTTTTTTTTTCTTTATGAACCATTCTTCTTTGCTCTAGGGCCATTATGATTGTGCAATATTATTAATTATATTATGATAATTGAAATCTGCATGTGTCTGACCTGAGCAGCATGTCTGATGGGGGACTTCTCTAACATAGCAGCCAGGGCTTCAGCAGTGGGTATCTGGTCATATGAGTACTGAAACCCCACACTGGTGTAACGCCTGGAGACACATAGAGAGGATAAGAAACTTTAAAAGTTGTTTGGATGTGTTTGTTGGAGTGTTTGAACAAGTGTACTTGAATGTGTCTCACCAGTCTACTATGTCACTGGTGCCCAATAACGTAGCAGCATTAATGACAGGGTTCCTGGCCGCACACGCTCTGTAGAACTCTGGGTACTGACCGACCAGATGACAAGATAGGAAACCTCCATGAGAACCACCAATCACAGCCAAGCGTTTGGGGTCAAGGGTGTTGTCCATCCGCAGCACAGTAAGCACGGCCCTCTGGGTAAAGACACTTAGATCAAATCATGTTCAGCCCCTTTTCCTCCCTAATCATCGCAACTTCAGTCCTGAGATTCTATATTTCACAGATTTCTGTTTTTCTCCGAGGACTCCAGGACTCTGTGTGAGCCGGTACCTGCACATCTTTCACATCCTGGCTTCCGATCTGACCGATTAGGGACAAAATGCTGTCCTGGCCAAACCCAGTGGATCCTCTGTAGTTCACTAGGTAGAGAGACACAGGAGGGAGAAAGAAACCAAAATTCAAAAAAATCCAAAGAGAAATGGAAGATCCTTTGATAATGTGACTTTTTTTTACTGGTTTCCACCCAAAACCGTTTTTTTCTTTTATTTGTAAAAGAAAAAATACAGATTTTGATGAAATTGTTTTTCACACATATTTAATATATATTCTATATATATACTATTCTTCTGGTAATAGAAAACTATGAGAACAAATGGAGACATAATTAATAAAACTTAAGGTAAGTAAACAGCGGAACCACAGTGTTTTTGCTGAAAATATATCTCTTTTTTAAACAAATTTACACATAAATGTAATGATGAAAAACTAAAGACACATATTTTTAAACAAAAATGATGAGTCCAAGTTAAAACGCATATGTACATATGTACGTTATAAATTAAAGGAATAGTTCGACTTTTTGGGAAGTATGCTTATTGGCTTTCTTGCCAAGAGTTAGACGAGAAGATCAATACCCCTCTTATGTCTGTGTGCCAAATATGGAGCTAGTCACTGAGCTAGCTGCTGGTTGACAAGATCCCAAACTAATTCTTTTAGTGTGCCAGTGTTTGTGTATGCTGCATGTGAGTGTGTGTCTGACAGAAACAGAGGCGTCTTACCCATGAGCACAGCGAAGCCGAGTTTAGCCAGTCCAGCTGTGGTGCTGTTCCACTCTGCTGGGAACTGGGAGTGGGGGCCACCTGGGGGAGCAAACAAACATCACATCATTATATAAATAAATCAAGAAATGTTTCAATATGTTCCCATCCTGTTAGGAGAAATACAGCAACCATACAAATAAGTGAAGTAAACACAGACCATGGATGAAGACGACCAGAGGTATCTTGGCTTCATGGAGGAGACGAGACGGTTTAACCAGCACAGCCCCAAAGTCTAAACCAGCTGATGATAGTGACAAAAAGTATGAATAACAGAGCTTGATATCACAACAAGTGGATAGGAGTGACTGATCATCATCATTTGGACCGTATGTGTGTGTGTGTGTGTGGGTGTATGTCTTATGCTCACAGTAGTGTGCGTTGTCCTCGTCTTGTGGAGGTGTAACATCTAGAACTGTCCAGTGGAAGTCAAAGGTCATGATTGGCTGCTGCAGGGTTTGCCAGGTCACAGCCTCACCTGCTGAAGGAAGGAAACCCACCCTCTGCGCATGCACACATACACACACACACATAGTCGACAACACAAAGACATTGCAAGTAAATAACATTTTCATCAAACTAATCTTGTTTAACAATGCCATAAACAGTATTTTAGCATAGTGCTTGGTGTTGTGTCTCTCATGCGCCTGTGTGTGTGTGTGTGTGTGTGTGCGTGTGTGTCCTGTCTGACCAGACTGGGAGGTGTGTTGGGGCTGGAGCAGAAGACAACCATCAGGTCCTTCTGTACTGTGAGCAGCTTCCAGCTGCCATAAGGTTTGGACAGATCAGAGAGACCTGCAGAGGAGAGGAGGCAACACAGAGACCGGAGTAAAGAGAAAGAAAGAAGTGATGAAGGAAAGACAGAACACGGTCGAGAGACATGATAGAGGGGAAACAAACCCAGACATAAAGGTCTGGTGAAAGTTTTTAAAGGGTTTTTGAAATGATATACCCTCGTATATGGAAAGATGAATTTGAAATTAAAAATAATTATTTTGTAGAGTGCCAGCAACATTCAGCTCTTTCAATAAAACCTTAATTTGAGCACTTCTTAAAATATAAATCTCAACAAAAACTATTTTATTACTATTGTGATGAAATGTGGTAATGTATACATTTATCTTTAATTTTGTTTCATCTTTGGCGCTCATTGTGTGCTGCTGTATTGGTTTTTCAACTTTAGACTTTTATTTTAAAATTCCCCAATAGGATGTTGGTGGCAACATTAAGCCTGTTCGTCTTGTCGTACCTTCCTGTTCTCGCTTGTGTTCCTGATGAAGAGTGGGTGGAGGAGGAGGAGGAGGAAGGAGAGGAGGAGGAGGATCAGGAAGAGGATCTGGAGGAGGAGAAGGGGAAGTAGGGGGAGGAGGAGGAAGGTGAGAGTAAGAAGGGGAAGGACGTGAAAGTGGATGAAAAGGAGAAGGGGGAGGTGGAAGAAGAGGGGAGTGGGGAGTAGGAGGAAGAGGAAATGGCAGAGGGACAGCAGGGGGAGGGGGAGGAAAGTGAGGGGCAGGAAGAAAAGCAGGAGATGGGGGAGGATGGGGAGGCCAAAAGGGGGAAGGAGGAGGTGGAAGCAGAGGAGAGGGCGGAGGATGAGAGAAAGATGAGAAAGATGAAGGAGGAGGAGGAGGAGGGAAAGAAAGAGATGGAGATGTGGACAGAAGAGAGAGAGGAGGAGGAGGTGGAGGAGAG